CACACAAAACAATTAATAGTTAGGTTTCTTGCTCAGGGGCATGTCAATCAGGGGTACTGACTTTGGAAGAAAACACTTCCTCCACTCTTAGTGCAACTCTTGTTATTGGGAATCAGACCTGTAGCCTTTTAGCTACAAGTTTAACTCGCTAACCATTAGGCCACAGCTGTATGCACATTCATGATATGGTCTATAGTCCAGGAGTATCCAACCCTGCACAGAGAGATTGACCTTTCTGTAAAGTTCAACTCTAATTAAACATGCCTGAACCGGTTAACCAAGATCTTCAGGGTTACTCGAACTTCCAGGCACATTTATTGGATTAGTTTGAAGCTAAACTCTGAAAGGTGACCCTACAAGGAGCCTGAGTTGGCTAAATAAGGTCTTTAGGGTTGCTCAAAAATTCCAGGAAGGTTTATTCGAGTAGAATGTTGCTGAACTCTGAAAGGTGTAACCCTCCAATCTTTGTTTATTCAGAAAGCTGTTTACTTATGCTGGGTTCACACTAAAAGTGAAATGAAGTATTAGCGCAGGTGGATTACATACAAAGTCAATGCAAATATAGAAAAAGTATGTGGAACGCACGGCTCATTTGAATTAGGTTCAATTGCATCTTCAAATAATTCAACTCAAACAGAAAATTAGCTTTGGTGAAAAGCATCCTGTGAGTAAACTAGAGTGGTTTGAATTCGACATAAGGTCACGTGTGGATAAGTTGAGCTACCTTTGATCCAGACCTAATTAAAAAACTTACTTGCCCACTCACAAACCAAACCACCTTGGTTTGTTTGGTGATCCTGCAGAGTAGCACTCCAACTCTAACCAAACACACCTGAATAAACCAATCAGGGTCTTAGAGTTATTGGTATTAATGTGTGTTTTCAGTAATATGGTCACAATTGGTAATCTGAGTAGCATAATGATCAGTTGTTAGTATAGTCGTTTGTCTCCTGTTGCACTTCAAATCAATTTGACATTAACCTTTCCATTTGAAAACAAAAATCAAAACACTTACTAAAATGCATCCTAATACCACGTGTAAATTAGGCTTTAGAAAAGTAATAGCACACCTCAGCACTCAAATAAAGGTCAACAGCAAAGACGAATACTTGAGGTTAAGGTTTTTTTTTTCAGCAACTGCTTCTATTGCAAGCAATTATCTGCTGTTTCTTGTTTTCTAGTCCATTTTCCTTTTTTTTCATCCCTGTCCTCTGGATCTTATTCACATTGACATTCTTCATTATGTGAAATTAATGAGCAGTCTTCTGATCTAATTACAAAGTCAGTTAATGGTTCATTGTCTTCCCCAGGTGCAGGAGTGGTTGTGTCTGAACTGTCAGATGCAGAGGGCGTTGGGGATGGATATGGAGACTCCAC